TGGGGGTGTGGGGGAAGGCTGAGGCTGATCCCTACTGCTCGACCTATCCCATCCAACACCCCCGCTGCTGATGCCGCTATTTCCTGTAACGTTGGATACGCAACATTCTTCCCAACAGCATGCCTGTGAAACTCCTAAAACATTTGCGACAATGTGCAACCGCCACCATTGCAAATATACAGGTGAACAAGCTGACAGATGTGCGAGTGTCATAGATAGAAACAAATTTCAGAAAATATACATTTGACATCTTCTTGCTCCTGAGATAATTTACAAGACTTTTCGAGATAGATCACGAATTAAACGTTCAATTAACATTAAAAGTAACCGAGCGGTCATTATTGATCGTTTTGATTTTTTAAATTAATATATTTCTTGTGTAAAATATAGGGTTCTGAAACTTTTGAATAATTATATCTTTTGTATTAATAATATATATGATTTTTTATTTTCATAATAATTTATTCGCTTGGTACTTTTCGCTTGGTAGTGTTAAAATGACAGCCTTGACTTACCGAGGAAAGCGTCGACCTGACCCGCTATGCCTTTTATCGCTTTCAGAAATATTTGCGGCAAGCTTTGCAAACATGGGTGCTGGCATGGATCTATGACATTAGGACTGGCGATAGCATATTGCAGAAAGGCTTGCGTCTGCGAGACAACAGCAGGTCTACACAAATCTACGGGATCACCGATAGTACGCAATAATCTGTACCATGCTTGTGCCACTGCTTCATCCGACATAGTGGGTTGTACTAACTGCGTGTCTTCCTCGCCTATTAACAAAGTTTATCATAATACCACAAACAATGTGCAAACTTTGTTAATGAGTATATTAAAGACACATACTTATTTTCAATTCGGGAAACATTGGTCCGTACATAATATGTAGCAGCCTCGCTGTAAGAGCGAGACAAACGCGGTTCCACTGCTCTACTAAAGCCAATCTGTGACGCCATCGCAGGCAAGATTCTCGTAATGTTCGCCATAACGGAGGTGAAGGAAAACTGCGTTCACAAGAGACCAGCCAGACCTGAAAAAAATTTGTTTTATATAAATTTATATAGTTGATTATAAGTTTAAGAATGTATCAGGTATACAGTTTCTGAAATAGTGAATTTCCAATTTCAGTTACTTTTTGTAGAAACTATACATCCTTAATTAATTAGAATATTTCCATACCTCTAACAATACACCGAGCACTCTCTCACATAACTGCTCTCCCGCATCTTCCCTAGTTGCTGGTGGTGCTAATAGTGCATCGTTAATACCGATGAGAAATAATAGTAAGCTTTCCCATGTTTCTCTCTCCAGTGTTGCAGGACCTCTCGCAATTTGCTGCAAAGTTCTAAGTACTCGATGACACAGAACAGCTTGCCGATTTATAGTGTCTGTACCTAGAAACATTCATCGAAAGTGATGTATTACAGATATTGATATAAGTATTCATTTTGCAAATTGATATAAATGTCTTCAGAAAAAAGTATATAGTCTTCAGAAATATGTATATCGTGTATTACCTAGATCCTGATATAGAAAAGGCCAGACTTTGGGAAAGAAAATGAGCCTTTGATCAAAAGAATAAGTAAATTTGCCATATAAAAAAAACCAAATCTTGTCTTACCTTCCCCTTTCCTTGGAACAAACAGATTGTGAAAATGACTTATGATCTTTCTGGCATAGAAGTTTGGGTCATCTACAATTGGTCTGGGCACAGAGATCTTTGGTGTTGAATATAGAGCAGACAGCCACTCGCAATATATGTTCACACAATCTCTGACAGTGTCGTGCTCAGCCAGCGGCAACGACAAACCAAAACATATCACCTCCATGCACCATTGCACCTCCCTGTCGGTGGAGAGAGGACTAGGTTCTCCTGCCTGGGTGATGCCCAGGTTTGCAGCGAGTTGGCGAACTATGGATAGTGCGACCTCCTTGCCTGCACCAGGGGGAAATTTCTCCAGTACGCTTTGGCTTTCCTCCGAGCCTTGTTGGATCAGAGTGCTCAATGAGGCCCATTCTGAATACATCCCTCCTTGGGAATCCTAAAAATACAGAAACATTGAGCTTCTTCCAATCAATGAAAAATTAAAGATACTAAATATAAGATAATTAAGATTGAACATGATAAATAATGTAAATAGATGAAAGTAGGTGTAATTAAATGAAGAAATGCAGAAATCTGTCGAATATAATCACCTTGAGATTAACTCTGTTAAATACGCCTAAATTCATAGATTATTACACGCCTATACGCCCTATATTTAAGAAGCAGTTTAGACGAAGATGAACACTGGAGTTAACTGAGTAGTTAATAACGTTTATGACACAAGAGAAACTTCATTTCACGTGATTCATCTCTCAGCTAACATCCGTTGTCGGGTCGTTGATTGATCTCTTTGACATCCCGCACGTTTGACAGCTGACTTTAACAGTGGCTTCGACAGTTATCAACTCACAGATATAATAGACGTATGTGATAAACACACATTAATCCGCTGGATCATAAAGTAACAATCTAATTTATCGACCCAATATATTTAAATGGGATCGATAAATCAGACTGCTACTATGATCCATTAATGATTAATGTACTGCATTATCTACTACTAATAAAACGAATAAAATATCATATGTCGATATCAAATCTTGTAGAATAATGTCCACATTTTTTTGGTTCTTTTCCATATTATGTAGATCAGACAAGGACAGAGAGTACTATTTCATTTGTGCGTTTTTGTCGTACGACAAATTTTTCAAGCTTGTTGATAGCTATAGAATAGAGAGAGGACCTTTCTGTCACATATTTGTCGAACGACAAAAACGCACAAATGAAATATCATCCGACAATCATATTTATCCCAGTTCGTCCTTGTTTAATCCATAATAGTATGAAAAAAAACCATCAAAAACCTTACCTTATGAGGATTGGTACACGAAAAAAGCCGGAATGTTCACTCACTTTCAAGTTTCTCTTTAGAAATATAATAAGGTGAGTTTTTTAATTCATCAATTGATCAATCACGTGAAATGCAAACGCAATCAACATCAAAGTTTTTTTATTCATCGATTAAATACATCAATGTGTTTTTATTTACAGCGCTGAAATCATCGTATATCTAAAGATCCTGTAATCAGAGTCTGACCAACTGAAATGGTTTTTTCATCGAAATTGTGCGAGAGAAAAATATCGTGTTATCTCATTTCATTTTACGTTGCAGTGACGCTGCAAGTTGCAGCGTCTATAGAGACAATCTATAAAGCTTTGTGTCCACGATGCTAAAAATCGAGACCTCGGATAAAAAAGAATTGATCAATCACTATAGTAATGTGATCAAATTGTTCAAATGTGATTTTTAATTCTTTCTCTGCCCAAGATCTTGGACTGATTTTCTAGTATCGTGGACATTGTGGGTTTTAGCTTTATAGTTTTTGATAAATATTCATTTTGGCACATTTAAGCAACTGACGATTAAAATTTAAAAAACGTAAAAATTTAATAGTGTCTAATCATAAATATTACATAACAGCAAGTCCATAGCTATGCATCATGCATTTAAAGTTAAAGCATAATATATTTTTATTATATTATATTAGCATTTAAATGGAATGAATAAAAAATGTCGAACCAATCACAAATCGGGAAAAAGGTGGCCAGACTCTGGACAGACTGATTGGACAGTTTCTACTATTGGCTATTTCGACTGTCATTTAGAAATCTGTTTTTTGTGGCTAAATTTCTGATAAGTATATGTTTGATATTCGAAGTCGAAAGCGAGAAAGATTAGGTCTTTTACGTTGCTTGCATTTTTGCACTTGGCATCTTTGCTTTCACTCTTTTCAATGTATATCTATCTCATTTTAAGTACAAAATACGAGAGTAGATCAAATATAAGGCCTATTCTTTTTGGCTGAACTTTTGCACCAATTCATCTTTCTTCTTTTTCTTTCCAGGAAAAAAAAAAGAAGAAAGATGAACTGAATGCAAAAGTTCAGCCAAAAAGAACAGACTTAATAACGAGAATTTTTTTACTACATATTTATTGAAGAAAAATAAAAAAAAAAATAAAAATATAAAGAAAAATTATTTCTCTGCATACAGTTTCCTGCTACTTTAATATATTTTTCCAGCGAACAGGCAGTTTCGCATTTCGTTTCGGATTTCGTTTTCATAAAAAGTAGTAAGTTGTGTCTGCAGCTAATTGCACGAATTTTTTTACACTGGCATCATCCACGAATTATATTGTTCTTCCAATTCTTCTTCCAGTGATCCAAACAAATGATAATCGTATGGAAAGATTTGTCTCAATGCAATTATCAATTGTTTGGCCCGCTAAAATTTAAAAATTGGGAGGATTCGAAAACAGAATCGCCAAATTGCCTATCCGCTGGCAAAAATATATTAATGTAGCAGGGAACCAAGTAAAAAAATAATTTGTTTCCTTTATATTTTTATTCTCGTTCAATAAAAAAAAAAAATTCTCGTTTATATTTGATTTACCCTCGTATTTGGAGAACTCATATAACGCGAACAGGAAGTCGATTGTGTACTTCAAATGAAGTGAAAATGACAAAAGTGAGTAAATTCACTAGAATATTCATAATTTAATTGGTCAATACCTAGTAACCTTTGCTCTTTTTTGTAATTTTGCATTTTTGTAATTTTCCTCCTTTCTATAATTCACCTCCTTTCAAAATCCACAATCGAATCCCAGGGTATCAATCATGAAACTTTTTTCCTAGAATAAAAAATGAAAAGTGAAAAATTTCTCCATTAACTTCAATGGTTAAAATTTTTACTTTTCATTTTCAATCCTAGGGATAAAGTTTTTATGGGGATTATGTATCTCGAAACGAGGTGAAAATTAAAAGTGAGCGAATTTACTAGAATATTGATAATTTCATTAGTCAACATCTAGTAAATTTGCTCACTTTTATAATTTTCACCTTGAAGATACAGAATCGACCCCATGATTGATACCCAGACCTATTATTAATCTAGTGACTTTAGAATAGTCATATGCGTACTCTATCTACTGGTAGAAATGGCAAATATCGTGTGGAGTGTCGACACTTCATTTTCCCTCTCCCCTCTGCGTAATATACATATATATGTATACACCTCTATATACGTGTATCTAAATCCCGAAACGAAAAAAAATCGGCAGATGGCTCAAGATCTATGTTGATGATTAATAATCCCCACGAGTCTCAGAAATTAATGGTAGCCGAGTGGTGGACAAAGAGCGAAGAAACAACGAACGGTGGAGTTTAGCGACGACGAGTAGCGACGAAGAAAGCGGTAGAAGCATTAGCAGTAAGTTCCGAGGTGCCAAGAAATAGTGGAGTATCGCGGTCGCGCGGCACAGCGCCCGACCGGGATCGTTCCGATCGCTAATCGAATTTATCATCTCGGCGTCGCGCGCGAACCGAACAAACAAGCGAGCGAGCGAGAGAGAGTGAGCGAGCGAGCGAACAAACGTGCAAAGTATAGAGAGGAAGAGCGAATGAGAGAGGCTGCCCGTCTCCGTCTCGTGCGCGTCAGAGTAGCTCATAATATGGCGTTTGTTTCGGTGCACGTTATCGCATCGCCGCGAGACACCGCCATCCGCCGCAGCTGAATCGGTCCGAATTTCGGCTGCCCGCTAACGTCGATACGACACGCACTTGGTGGACAGGAAACGGTGGACGGTCGCGCTTCGGATGCTCCGGAGGCCGCGGCATCCACGTCGTGAGCGCGCGCGGCGCGCAGCCGCTCGTCACCGACGGGCACGAGGATAGATTGCGTCATTATCGTCTGTATCATCCTGCGATGCCGAAGAGGATCCACGAGACGCGCGCACAATGACGTCCCGCAGTTACACCAAGTCTTACAGCCGCAAGGTCAGCAGTGTAACACCCGGCAGCATTCAATTCGACAAGCTCTTCCGCGAGAACAGCAATCGCCCGTCCGCAGCCAAGTCCGCGGGCACCGTCGGCAAATGGGGCATAACATCTTTTACTTCTATCAGGAGCACGAATATCAATGGTAAAAAAAAAAAAACTTTATCGCTCTATGTTTACATTAGATGTACGTGGTGATTGCTGCTACAACAGCACTTTTGAAAGTTACTTTTTACACAGCGATGGATGGCTGTTATGATGAAGAAAAACGTATTTTGTAAACAATAAATTGTGGCCAACTTTATACATTGAAATATATATGCTTGTTTCTAATGTAATTTAATTTTAATTTCTTGGTTGGACTAACTTGACCTCTTTCTGATTCTGAGAATTATATCTGTTTCTATGACAATGTAGTTTAATTCTAGCTTGATTTATAACTGATTTTTTATCTTTTTCTAATTCTAAGAATTAAACAAGGATTAAGAGTAATTGAACTGAAATTAAAGTTAATCTATATGTTGAAATATGCATTAAACATTAAAATTTGCTGTGTTTATGATGGAAAGAGAGGAATACATTTATAAACTTTTTAATTATATACATTTTTTTGTATCTTAAAACAATGATGGTATTGAGATCAAATTTTTTTCTCATAATGTATAGAGAAAAGTTATAAAAGAAAGTTTCATATACAAATCTTTATCGTCGTTATGGCCGATATTCCTTTCTTGGATATGTATTTAGCAAGAATATTTATCGAGTGAAAATTAAAATATATCCACTAATGCATAATGTTGATAAACATAATAACATCATTTCTACCAATATAAATTAATTTTAATCTTAATTTAACTTCCTTTTTAGTTTTTCTAATTCTAAGGATTAGAAAAAGATAAAAATAAATTAAATTGAGATTAAAGTTAATATTGATAAAAATAACATAAGTAAAAATAAACAACAGAAATTGTTTTTCTTACAGTTATAAATTTTAAAGAATCACTTTTTAACGCTGAGAGTAACGACTGTAATCTATTCTTGTAAAGTAAAAGTGATTTAAATTGACAAGATTTATTTTTAGAGACTGATATAATCAACTGATTTTACCTCAATGATATAATGTCAATATTTAACTGCAATGATATCATATGATTCTGTTCAATAGAATTTAACATTTGAAAATTTAATAGAAATTTATTACATAAACACAATATTACATAAACTATGAAATTATTCTGTACTTTATACAGTATTTATAAATATTTTATTTTGTTGTGTTATATATAAATGAATAGATAATTATATATAAAATACTTTTCTATTAATTGAAACGTTTCTTTATCTAGAAGCATTATCAATCTCAAGAATACTGATTAATCTCAAGATATCTGATGTATTTAAAATACTATTTAAATTATTTAACAACCTATCTCCAGTTGTCATCGACGTGTAATATATTTCCGACGTGTAAAAAATGTCATGTTCAGAATTATTCCATTTTCAGGGAGGAGAGATGATATACATAATACTTTTGGCGCAAAGAGAATGAAACTCGATTATGGGAATCAGAATCGCGTGAATCCTGGAAAAGATCCATTTTCTTTCGAAACTGACCCGGACAATAAATCGGAGTCCGCGGTTGTCAAGCCGAAGAAATTCTTCAAGAGCCGAAATGTCCCGCCTGTGATCGAAGAATCTCGCCAGGATGTGGCAATCTACAGACAAGTACCTGATTCGCAATATGGGAGGGCTCGTGCCCCGAAACAACCTTCACAGCAGCAGCAGCAGCAGCAGCAACAACAACAACAACAACAACAACAACAGCAGCAGCAGCAGCAGCAGCAGCAGCAGCAGCAGCAGCAACAGCAGGCCGTAACAAAAGTGTCACATGCTTCAATTAAGAAAGTAGTAGAAAGTTTAGATAGCACCGGTACGCCCGACACTTCCAATCGGGAGGAGAGCAAACCACCGATCGTACTGAGAATATGCAAAGGTACGGCGCGATTGGTTTGCGGGGACGTGCATCAGGACACTCAGGATCTCGAACCTGATACCTATAGGATTTCTACTCCCCTCGCTAGTCCCTCGAAGGTGGATATTGAACGTAAGACCTTCAATACGGAATCGTCGCTCAAGTCCGATCATAGATCCTTACGTGCGCATCAACCTGTTGTCTCCACTGTATCGATCCCATTGGATAATTCGGATATGCGACGGACAACACGTAGTCGCGCTAAGAATTTGCACTTGGATTCAACGGCGATGACTTCCGTTGTGACGCCGTCGACGACGCCGATTACTTCCAACTCCCATGGTTCCGGCCTCTCCTTGACGCTGAGAAAATCAGTGACGGATTCCAATAATACACTTATCTCCCATTACGACATCGTTAAGACTGACTGCAGCTCAACGTATTCCTCGAAACCAACTATCGAGCCGTTGATCGGACGCGATCAGCCACTGCCAACTACAACTCAAGAGCTGATCGATATATTATCAAGTGATTCCGACACGAGACCACAACCACCACCACCACCATCACCATCACCACCATCACCATCACTCTCACCACCATCATCACCATTATCACCAGTAGCACCACCGACATTAGCCACCGGTACTGATGACAATGATAATGACAATGACAATACGGAGAATACAGAAGACACAACATCAGAAAGTATCGTAAATCAAATTGAACAACATTGCTCTATAGACATCCCTGTCAATGAAGCTGTGACCGAACCCGTCACGATCACGCAACAATTCGAGCCTGAACCAGAAGCAGAACTTGATCCTGAATTGGAGCCAGAACTACTAACCCGTGGAACAACTGATACCATCGCCACCGTCGAGATCGCAGCCAAGACCTTGGTGGATCAAGATTGGTTTTCAAGCAGTGACAGTGAAGGTGCTAGTGGAAACGCCGAGAGTGAAATACCACTGCACGTGACGAGCACGGTTTCGGAATTGCAGACTTCGGACCCACCATCGACTAGTATTTCGTCGACCAAGCCCGCTGCTAAGAAAGGCAGTATCTTTAAGAGCCGTTCGACGGGCGCGACGAATGGGAACAAGAGGCGAGCGTTGTACAAACACAAATGGTGCGACAGTGATAAGGAATCCACTGCTACGGATACACCTAACACTGGCAACAGCACGCCGACCACTGCGTCCGGTTCCAGCAGTGCTGGACCAGTGGCATACGAGGAAGAGTTTGAACCTTCGCAGTTGACAAGGGTTGTGACTTATCCTACGACCGATGTGGATTTCGAGGACGAAGCTGATGCGGTCACGAGCATTCGCTGTGGCAAAAAAGTTAAAGGAGTGAGTATACTATAGACAATATAATTATTATATTGTGGAATTTTGATTGTTTCCTTGGAAGATATATTATAGTACATAATTTTTGTTGATAAAAGACTTCTATGAATTTTTTGTATTATGAATTTATAAGTAGAATTATTCTCATTTCCAGTTATGTAAAACAGCAAATTATAAATATGAAAATGAGTTGTAATACATACGATTTATTTTGATTCAACGTATATTTATTTGCCTTTATTTTGCCTTGCAGTTTTATACTGTAGTAAAGAATGTAAAGAAAGCCCATCAGATACAAGAAAGTGGAGAATTCCAGGAGTTTAATGACGATGTGGAATATATCTTGGATACTTTGAGAGAAAATAATCCAAATGCTACTCGTTGCCTTTCAGCCATACGATTAGCAAGCAAGTGTATGGCTCCTGCATTTCGTATGCACGTGCGTGCTCATGGAACTGTTGCCAAGTTTTTTAAAGCTCTTCATGATGCAACTAAAGATCAGGTATAAATTCTCGCATATGATAAAGTTTTATTCATTTCTATATATTCATACCATATAATATTACATATTACATTAAGTGCTTTCCTTATTAAACTTTATATATATATATATATATATATATAAAATAATTGTATGCTGATACTATTATTATTATTATTATTTGTAGAGTCTTGGTCTATGCACAGCTACAGTAATGTTTGTATTAAGTCAAGATCGTCTTGCTATGGATCTTGATCGCGATTGTTTGGAATTAATGTTAAGTCTGTTAGAATCTGATGCCAGCCATAAAGATGCTCTTGATGATTGTGGTCTCAGTCATGCTGAATTATTGAAAAATAAAGAAAAAGTACGTCAGTTATGTGCTGATATACAAGCTCAAGGACATGCTAAGCATCTAAATTTAGATAATATCACCGTAAGTAATTTTTGATACTCATTCTTTGCATTTATATTTATTTCTGTACACATGTACGCGTTTATATTTATATAGATTTATTTCTATTGTCGAATAATTCAAAAATATGCTGCTTTTAACAGGTTGGTCAGCTCGCTATGGAGACACTTTTGAGTCTTACGTCAAAACGCGCTGGAGAATGGTTCAAAGAAGAATTACGAGGATTAGGTGGCTTGGAACATATTGTAAAGACAATTCGAGAATGTCACCGTCATATTAACAGCCAAAATGTTTTAAGATCTGGCTGGACAGATCCTTTATTAGACAAATTACGTAAAGTTGACAGATGTTTACGCGTTTTAGAAAATGTAAGTGCTTTTTCCTTCTTCCTTCCCTCCTGTATCACGCGCCATATTACAAAGAAGAATGAATAATGAAGAGAGGCTAAACATTGCTTATTTTTTTAGGTAACACATATGAACGAAGAGAATCAGGCATATTTATTAAAATATGAAAATGGAGTATTAGTAAGCACGTTAGCTAGTTTATATCACTTATGTGGACAGGAGATTCCTGTTTATCCAACAACTGATCCAAGCGATAAAAGTTCCACTGGTGCTGTTGTAAGAGAATGTCTTTTTGCAATTATTAAAGTTCTCATCAATCTTACTCATCGGTTTAACAGACAATGTAAGATTTTCTTTTGATATTATTAGTGTAGTCAGTAATAATTATTTATTTTAAAATTATTTATGTATTTTTTTTACACAGCCTTCGGCAGCAGATCAGTTGGCGCACAAGTTGGCGTTTTGGATTGTAGTTTGTTTCTTTTATTACGCGTGCCTGAATCACTCCCAGAAGAAAAACGATTTGATATGATGATGTTGGCATTAATTCTGTTGATAAATTTAGTAGAGCAATGCGACGATAACAAGCAACTTCTTATTAACTCGAAGGCACCTCCATCATTAGAAGATATTTTCGATGGTAAATATACCTGATTTTTACACTTCTTTAATGTAGTAAATTGTGAGAATACAAGATTTATCTTTATTTTTATAATTGCGTACTTTCAGCGGAGGAAAGCGGCGTAGCGTCTCTGATTGATTTATTTTATAAGCAAGAGGAACTCGCGCGGGCCGAGGAACAGAAAACTGACGCGATTTTAGACGGAAAGAAAGATTCTGAGCAAACAGAAAGAGTATCGAGCACCTCTAAATCTCAGGAAGAATTTATCGAAGAGACCGTTACGAAATGTTTGTATAATGTTTACTTGTGTATGCATACATATATCCATCTTGATATCTAATTTTGCTCAAAGTTTATTAATAATAATGCATAGAATTTTGAACAAATCAATTTTTAATGACATTCTTTGAAGAAGTATATTCTTTCAAGAAACTGTCAAAAAAAATTACAGTATTGTTTACTATAATTTCTGTTTTAAAAAGTGAAATAGTTACTTATATTGAGATTAATGATTTAGAATCGACAGAAAATTAAAAATTTTTTTGAAGAAAAAAATCCAATTTGCTTATGTTTTTTAAAAATTAATTTATATATTTCATGAGAATGCCAGATTTTTTAAATTATAATATAACTGTAAGATTATTATTTTACAGTGTTACAGAAAGCTGGACGACATATGGAGCATACACTAATCGGAGCATATGTAGTATTGTTACTTGGATACTTAATAATGGATAACAAGGTAAAAAAAACTTTAAAAACACGATTATATAAGTAAAAAGTATTATTAATCTATCTGTTACATATCTAATAATTTACATCCAGGGACTAATTCTTTTTTTCTTATTAAATCTTTTTTCTATTGTATAGGAGTACGAGTCGCTAGTACGAAGTAGATTACCAGACAAGAACTTCGCCACTATGGTATCTGTACTTCAAAAATTCTTCAACTTCATGAATCTGACGGCATCGGTAAGCATTCGAGAAATATCCCATTTGGTTTGAAAAAAATATGTTTTAATGTTTATCACGCACATTTTTTTCAGAACGAAGTGAGTAGTTGCGGAATCGCCGCTACTGAGAAGGTAATCAAGTTCCTAAAGATGTCGGATGCTAGAATCGAAGAGGAGAAGAATGAGTTACCATTGCCAGCGTTAGAAGACACCAACACGATGCTTGACTTAACTTCATCTTGATCGATATGTTATGCACACATCTGACAGCATTTCTTTCATCTGGCGTACACAAAGAGCCAAAGTTGTATTTTTTGTCCAACAGAAACAAAATCTTTTTATTATAATATGAATGAACCTGTTTCATATTCGTATATTTTGATACATATTTATTCATTTACGTAATTTATTGTAGGTCTCATTATTATTATTAATTATGATATGATTCGACTTATTTCCTTATTTACGATTGTGGAAGCTCTAGCTTATATTCTAGTTTAAGTAAAATAAAATAGGATAACTTTGAATTTACGTACAGAAACACATCTTGTATAATTACAGGGCACTTATCGCAATTATATCGTTACTATTTACACGATATCACGATAATTATTCGATTTAACGAGCAGCCACCTTTTTTTAAAGAGAGACTGCCAAGAAGAATAATTGATGCGATAAGCTTCTTGCCAGCCTACCTGATTCACTTTCTGTATATGAGATCTTAAAATTGTACAATCGATTTTTAAAATAAAGTATCTAATGCGTTTTAAAACTTTTAAGTGATCGAGAGCATTGATCATTGTACATTGTAACCGGCTCGAAATTCAACAGCGTTTTTTTTCTTTCCTTTTTTTGTTTTTAATATGCATAAGGATTATTTTAATATTAAAATTATATTATAAGCCTTGTAAATGTAAATTTATAAATTATAACTGTATCTTATATCCGCATTTCGAATTATTGGATCCCACTAAATACAAGACATAAGACGGATTATATGATTGATATGGTGCAATGGTACGAGATATTCACGCGTTCTATATAATAAAATTAAAGGGAGCAGGAGACACGTAATACGTTGTTACATTTATAGTAAAATTATCGCTGATATGAAGAATCTATGTAGAATAAAATACTTTTTTTAAATATATGTTATTAAATATATGTATGATTACATTTATTCCGTTAAATCGATTTTCAAAAATTATAACGATATTCGCAAAATTGACAAAGTTACAAGACGTTGAAGTGCTCACCGTAGATAGAAAATAATTCAATAATTCCCAGCTGTTTTTTCCTGTCTAAGTATAAACAAGTATAAACAAGTCTAACTTTTTCCTGCGAGCAGGAGACAAGGTTATTTCCATTGAAAACAGACATACGAAGCAGATAAATGCTCATTAATTTTTTTTTTTGCTTTCGTAATTATGATAGATATAAAAATGTTTAAGAAAACCAAACAATTTTAATTAAATGCGTTTTTTTTAAATATTAATATTCATTTATACGAATTTAGCAAACATAAAAAGTGGGATTTTTTTTTGTTTATTTTTGGAGGTTCCTAAAAAATGTTTAATTTTAAAAAGTTTTATAGGTAGCAGTTTTATAGGTATCCTTGACAAAAATTTATTTAACAAAACTTTTCCAAATTTGAACTCGATTGGAATTTATAGTTCTCGAAATATAGTGTCTCTCACTCATCAATTTTGAAACGTCGTTTCGAAAAAAATCGTAAAATCAACTTTTTTCACATATTCGCTTTCAATAGAAAGCCCCCCTGCTCAAGAAAGGGCTATTGTTAGTACCTTCCAGCAAACGAGAATGGATTGAAATGGATTGTGAATACTGTTCAATTCAAAATTTTGAATAGGAAATGCAGTTTTCCAATTGAATGTAATTTAATCTAATTGAATCCAATTAAATATAAAAAAAAATATTCGTTATTTAAAATACGCATTCGGATAAAAAAAATTTCAATTCATTTTAATCCATTCTCGTTTGCTGGGCTGTTAGGCAAAAACCGTTGAGACGCCCAGAAGAAGATTTTATTGAATTATTTTCTATATACCTGCTTGTGCGTGAAGTCGTTTTAAGATAACTTTGTCTGTTTTGAGAATATAATTTAGAACTGAGTATTTTTAAAACTTTAAAAAAGTGCAAAAAAGAATCTATTTTTTCAACCCAATTCAAAATGAAAATTTCCTTAATAAATTTTTAATAAATTATATTTTAATAAATTATAATAAAATTTTAATGAAATAATACTAAAAATGGGTTAATTAATTGATTTCAATATGAAATTCAATAATACTTCATCAATATTCATTACAATTTTAATTAATATTTCATCATTAATATCATTATTCATTACAATTTAGGAAAAAGTTTTTATTATTCAAAAATGTTCAAAAATGTAGAATGTATCATTGATCAAGTCGCACATGCGCAAAGAGGAAAGAGTTCTACGTCGCTACCTCATATACCTTCTAAAGTTACTAGATCTATAAAGTAGCAAACTCACATTCATTTTCACGTAGCCATTTCGAATTTATGCATTTGTATCATGTGCTTTATTTGGAAAAATGAAGCCATCAAGTATGTAAATCAATGTTTTTTAGTTGTAATTAATTTATTTATGAACAAAAGAATATGTACAAAAGGATATATGCTCAATTTATATATTCTTTAGTTTAATACGGATTTATTTGTCGTAGAAGTTTTGTGCATAAAAGTGCACAAAGGATACGTGTACAGTTCAGAACTGGAATACGAAAGTACACATCACACATGTGATCAACGCATGAGTTTGAGCATTTTTATGTGGACCCTCGTGTATTTAAAATCGTGAACTATGTGCACTTCGGCCATTTTTACGCGACATTTCTGAAATCAATTGTGGTACTTTATGATCTAGTGACTTTAATATCTTCGGATAGGATTCGTGATCTCTCACATTGGGGAAGTTGGATACAATGTATAGTCAATGATCTCACTTTTAAGAAAAAAATTTTTAAGATGATGAAATTCGAATTCAGAAATAAAAGATATGGGTCAACGCGATGTTGCAACTTTGAAGCGTTTTTTAATTGATCAATTTGTAAAATTCTTTCTTCTAATTGATCCATCAAACGTTTCAAAGCATTTGTAGCGAGACTTTGACGCAGCCAAAATTGTCCACCATTATGCGAGATGTCGAATGTCGATAAATGATCATCGCGCTCGAAAGCCGGGAATAGCAAGCTAACCAATCACAGTGGAAGAGAGATCGACTATGATTGGTCAATTCTTCACGATCTTCTACTTTTATTTTGTAAACTCACTCTTAGTTTTTCGTCTGCGATTGTAGTATTTATAATTGTTGTTTTGTAATTGCGCCACGTGGTTGTGTTGTACACATTTTACGTGTATAACGTAATTATATCATTGAAACTTGTAAAAATGATGGCACTATGGAATCATGTTACTTTGGAGCGACCGCCGTATACAATGTGGCAAATCAAGACATCAGATGCTAAAAGGACTGGTATATTTTTTTATCTAGGTTATATTTTCAAATTAAAATGCGTCGAATTCGTGTGAATTCTGAATAATTATTTCTTTTTATTATTAGATATGGATATTTACATTTGAGTATTATATTTAAAAAAAAACAAATCAAGAAGGAAATATATGAGAGAGAGAAATTTATGAGAGAGAGAGAGAGAGAGAGAGAGAGAGAGAGAGAGAGAGAGAGAGAGAGCTAATATATTTGTTGCCTATCATAAAATTTCTAATACGGCTTGTAACAATAAAGTGATTACAAAAATATATATCTGTAGATAACTGTTTGTTTTCGTTTTTAGGTATTGATGTATCTCGATTTAAAAAGATATTAAGCACAGTGATCCATGATTTTGAATCGATGGATGATTTATATAGAAACGTTGCAGTTCTAAGCCGTTTAATTTATCGAATGAAAAATAAATTTCGAAATGACAAAGGCTTCATGTCCATGGTCAAATTGGACAAAGCTTTGGACAATTGTTACAGAATGTGTCTAAAGAATGATTATGTAACTTTGAAATCTCTCATTCAAATGAGAGATGGGATGTATAGTTTACCTAGTAGACAAAATCTAGAGTATGTACTTGCGAGAACGCAAGGCTTTGGAAAGCTCATGACCAGAATAGAAAGTATGTCATGGATTGCTTCGCATTATTTTATATCCAGAATTAAATTAGGTCATGTATGGAACGTTGCTTTAATAGCTTTGGCTACTGTATGTAGAATTTGGTAATGTTCCTATAAATTTCATCAAAGTTAACATTATTCTCTTTTACACAAACGAAGATATATATTTATATTATATTTGAATAGGTTTCATACGAGATATATACTCTCAAAATGTTGCTTCTGGTATGATGAGCTGTATCGATATGCACCACAGTTTCAATATGTAGGTGCAAAACCCTGGCTTCCAAATGATCAAAGCTTACCACATAACTTAAAATCGTGGCTGTGTGTGGACTGGGATTTGTCACAGTAAGTTTGAAATTACTTATATCTGAGACTAATAACTTACTCCTATGTCATTTCAAATTCTTTAGTTGAATGCTGGTAACATAGTCCTACATCATTTAAAATTTTTTAGCTGAATGTCAGTAGTTAGAAACTAGATTGGAGTGACGATCTCCATGCGAAAAACATATTTATGTAGTATGGGTGGAATCGATCTCGGTGAATCTTCAAATCATAAGTCAACCACTCAAGACTTTGAAGCCACTCGTGCTATTGATCCTTTCATGTTCATATTTTATATATATATATATATTATAATGATTAGAATTTTATTACTTGCATGTCTTTTCAAAGATTTACTAGTATTACTGCTACTCATAATGCTTATATATGTCACACGAGACGGTACTCAACATAACTCATTCTCATTTACTCAATGACAACTTGTATAATGACATACAACTAATCTGTAAAAATATTAAATTTTACATTGTAGTAAATTCATTATATTTGTTTTCAAAAAATATATTTAATTAGTTTAAGCAATTCTATCAATTTTAATATTGCCAATAATTTTTCATCCATATTTTTTCAGTATGTGTTTGTAATATTTAATTTTTTTTTTATTTTAAACAAGTGAGTTATAAGTATTATATCGAGAAGCAATATTTTTTATATTCACACACATTTAAATAGCAGATCCTTGCAGTATTGTATTCAGCTATAGATTTTAAAAAATTACATGGGCCGTACAATTAAATAGTCGACATTCACCGCGAATGTATTAATTATAATTAGCTTTATAAAACGAATGTTATATTTTACAGTAACTCTTTTACCGGGCAACATCTAATTAGACAAATTATGTCTCAAGAGTATAGTAATATTATTAACGAGAAAATTAATACCTTAATGCTGGATGAAGAGATTGATAATTCGGAGATTGATGACTCAGAGACAGATAACTCAAGGCTGACACAAAATATCGAAGTTACTTCAAATAATAATATAAAAAATAAATCTTTATCAAATAATGACACAGAAGATATTGGAGGTATGCACCGATTACAGCGATGTCATTTTTTTCTATTATATGTATCTATGTATACATACATGTATTTGTGTATGTATGTGTGTGCGTATACATATATATACGATGTATCTATGTATATACAGAATAAATTTTCTTTTATGGTTAATACATACTACTTATTTTTATTATATAGAAGTAATAGATCGGGAGACTTTTGTGAGTAGTAGCAGCAATCTTTCACCAAACGATGGATCCACAGCAATAAAACGTAAACATATGAATCTTGATCAAGGAAAAAGTTTTAAAAAATCAAAAATTCGAAGAAAATAGAAATAAAAAAAATTATAGAAAATGATATTAAGAAGAAAATCTATATAATAGATTCAATTATAGAATAATAGCTGCTTTATTATTTGCATAATGAAAATCAAGCTGTGCATAATTTTAATTGCAATAGAATAGTTAATAAAAAAGTAGATACATTAAAAATTTGATGTTGTCAATGAAAATGAAGTTATAAATAACTTGAATTTAACGTTTACTTATATTAAATTGTATGCAAATCTATATAAAATTTAATTAAAAATACTAAATTTCGTAAAATTTTATGAAAAGTACACAAAGATTTGCACACAATTAAATATCTGTAACTGAAAAGTATACTTGTGTATTTATACATGAAATTTAACATTCATTACATTTAAGACTACTATAATTTTTTCAGTTAAATCATTACTTTTCATTACTTTCATTACATAAACATTCATTACTTTTCAGTTATCTGACCACAAGGTTTCGTTACAAATTATAAATTCAAATTAAATTCAAGAAAATTGTAATAGTATAACAAAGCCAAAGTTGATATTATGTATTTATTAATATTGTGATATAAATCTAAGATATAAGCACAGCTTGACAAAAAAAAATGTACAAATTAAAAAATATATAATTTTATATTTTTGCAAAATAAAAATATTTTTTATTTTATATATGTATATTATTAATATCACTCGATTCCCCTTTCACAGACTTCTTTGTTGAAGTTAACTAATCGAGAATTGCTCATAAGTAATACCCTATATATAAAATCAGGTGCAAGAGATTTTTGTATTATACACAAAAAATCATATTCGAATATCTGCTGCTGGATAATATCTTTAATTTTAATTATTGGCATCAACAAGCGTGTTATCGAAGGGAAGAGAAGGGAGAAAAGTTGCGGGAAAAATATAGGCCACATTATGCGACTTTAATTGAACGATGCGCGTGGGTAGTAAATATAACATTGAGCACAGTAACTAGCTTTATATCGTGGGATTCTCCATAATTGTGTTGGATGTGTATAGCGCTGTAATTAAGCGTCGTAGTCAGGATAAAAATGAAGCGCATATCTCCGTGGTCTCATCCAAAATTTCAGGCCAAAGAAGTCGGAATGTCTCTTCCGCATATTGTTAAAGCAACAAGCGCGAAATTGCCGAGTGCCGCATATGTCGGCACACTCCCGTCCGCACTGATCGCAAGGAACGGTCTCACCGAAGCTCCACAATGCACACACTGCAAAAACAGATAAAATTATTGAAGAACTAAAGAATGCTAACAAAATTCATGATAAAAAAATGAAAATAATGAAATAAAAGATAAATAAAAAATAAAAAATGAAAGAATGATAAAGACATCCATTATGTAAGTCATACATATATCAATAAAGATAATTAACTTAATA